AAAAAAAAAAAAAAAACAGAGAGGAAACAATAGAATGGGGCCACTCAGGGAAGCGCAAGATTCATGTATTAGGCCCATGAGGTTACTGTGAGGAATCAATGAGGGAGGGATGTATTTCTCTAAGCACAGAGCGGGCTTTTCAATTTTTCAAGTTGTCCAATGACATTTGCTTCCTTCCGTGTAACCGGCGTATCCGAGGTGAGAGGGCTGAGAACATTCCAACCGTCTTCTGGGCAATTTGAAAAACAAAGAAACTCTATAAAACTACCCCAAGGCTCTTCCAAAAGCTGCTACACTTCCACCAAGAGGAGCTTTTATGCTTTTATAGCTTGAACACAAGACTTTTTGCAGGATGCGAACTTACTTGCTGTGAAATATTTCTTATAAAGCTTTAAACTTAACTTCATTTTGAACTTCCACAAATGTGCCCATTTGGAGCAATGCATTATTTCCTTAAAAAAAATACAATAAACATGATGTTTTATCAGGGGCACTTAGCAGCACGAAGCAGTGCTGATCATCTTCAGTTTATAATAAGCACTGCTTTGGGGCATTCACTTAACCTTGTTAATTTTTATCTAGAGACTTGTAAATTTACATTAGAATGGGATTATGCAATATTTTTAAATGAACAAAACAATAAGTAGAAGGCGCTATCTTAAATAGCAAATTTCTTTTGTTTAGGCGCGTTATGGTAATGAATTTAAATTTAACATTAAATCACAAAAGGTGGAGATAGCTGGAGAATGGAACGTTACAGGATTAGTAAACTACCTCCTGCTTTTAATATAATCTGTATATGTATCCGCAATTTTCACTTGAAATAAAGCTCTAAAACAAGTTTCGTACTTAGAAAAAGGGACGCTAGGAACAGGTTACAGCTCCTTTCAGTGTGCGTGTAGTGGCTCTTAAAAGAGCCTTTGGGTCATTTGGAGTAGTTTTTGTTACTAGAAGCTGCAGCCTTTAAGCCCTCTCACCACGGATACGCCGGGCTAACTGGATGTCCTTGGGCATGATGGTGACTCTCTTGGCGTGAATAGCACACAGGTTAGTATCTTCAAAGAGCCCCACCAAGTAGGCTTCGCTGGCCTCCTGCAGGGCCATAACGGCCGAGCTCTGGAAGCGTAAGTCGGTCTTGAAATCCTGGGCGATTTCACGGACCAGGCGCTGGAAGGGCAATTTGCGGATGAGCAGCTCAGTGGATTTCTGGTAGCGGCGGATCTCTCGCAAGGCAACAGTGCCGGGTCGGTAACGATGAGGTTTCTTCACTCCCCCAGTGGCAGGCGCGCTCTTCCGAGCAGCTTTGGTAGCCAGCTGCTTACGGGGGGCTTTGCCACCAGTAGACTTACGAGCAGTCTGCTTGGTCCTGGCCATGTTAACACACTTAGTCCCTGTGTAAAAGACGTTGAACCACAACGAATGGATTGAAATGAATAAGAGCTGTAACTTTCAGGCGGTATTTATAACTAAACTCTCTTCTCTGATTGGCCGTTTCGAAGAAGCCAAATGTCATTGGACAATGTGAAAATTTGAAAAGCCCGCCCAGTTCATCATGATTTCCCCTTCACAATGATCAGTGGCCAGTTTCCTATCGCGCCATCACACATCTGCTACCGCCTATTTTTTTCGGGGGGGGGGTGTGGCTCGGGGTTCCGACTATATCATTTTCAAAGTGATCGAATCTGTATCCCTGAACTTTATTACTACTTCCTTCTTCCATCTAAGAAAGCTTAGCACGAGCAGCACTCCCGGAGACAGGGGAGAACATTTAAATCACATGATTCCTCGAACGCGTAAAAAATATCTTTGTTCTGATTCTCTTTTATGTTTTAATTTGCTGCTTTTTAAAGCGATACAAATGCCTTATATTTTTCTTCCTTTCAGACAGAGGGCCACCAGCACCGTATAAAGGATCTGTTTACTCTGCTTATGTCCTCCTTTATAATCTCAAGTGTGATTGTGAAAGAGAGGAGTTTTATACTAATGAGGCGCAATATTTACAGAGTAAAATAAAGTTATTGTTTAGTTTTCTAATGATAAAATAACTTGTCTCCAAAGAAGGCTGTGTATGTTCAATATCTGGCTTTAAGAAGTAGGAGTATCATTTCATCCGTTCAAAAATCTCAACTCAGTTTTCAATCAGGTCGGATAAATCATAGACGCGCTATGCAAGTCAGCAGCCCACAGTCATTTTATTATTACTGACGATGCCTAATAACATATTTGCACGCGGTGAAGAAGACATTGATCATAGTAAAAGTGGGTTTAAGCATCACAGAAAATGCCTCGAAATAATATTCAGGCATTACCGATTTTCTGTCACCGCGTTTGCTGTAGTGGTGAAATGTATCTCTGACCTCATCTAAGGGTGATCCTCGATGATGCTATTTATGCTGAGACCAGGAAAAGAAAGACCTTGATAGCCAC